ACTGGTTAACAAGAAAGCAATGTAAAACTAAAGGCAGAAGGCCTAAGCCCAGGATACCGAACCCTGACTTCAGGAGGAAAAAAGCTGGGATGGATAGATATAAAGTATATCTAGGAAAAAAAAGAAGACCACCCAGTCAACAGCAGGAGGCTCAAGTAGAAACCCCTAAATCCTTCACTTAAGGGAGAGGGAGGACCATAATAAAAAGGATTTTACCTGACAAACAAGTAATCAATATAATAGAGACATGCACGAATCTGAGATGCATCCCAGCAGAAAATCAGGTTGAGAGGTAAAAAGAACTGTTAAGCTAAAAAATAGAAGGGTAGCAACCCTGAATCTGTTTAAAAGAGAGGGTGGAGTGAATAACACCTGCATTAAAAGGTTAGGCAGGGTTGAGGATACACTGGTGTACAAGGACATCAGGACCAGAAAGATGAGATGATGAGTCCTTCAAATTTAACTCCCATATGTGTTTCAAATGTGTAAAAGCCACACTATAAGCCTGCCTGACCAATAGTGAAATATATGATTCTAGGAATCTTAAAACGTAGCCCTGTAGAAGGCAGAATCCTCTGTAGAGAAGGAAAGAGTAGAAAACCTAGTATCATCATTAGGAATATTACCCTGAAAGAGAAAAGAAAAAAAGAAGAGGAAGGAGACTTCCTCAGAAGACTGCAGGCCAGTCACAAAGAGGATCTTCCAGTAACTATGTCCCTAGAAGGCCTTCAGACTTATTCTATTCCACTTAGAAGAATTCTACAGCAGGATAACGGAGTGTCCTGTCTGCTGAGCCTCCAGATAAGAACATGACTCATGTGCAGAGATCTCACTGTTCAAAGTGGGGAACATCAGATGCAGGGATCAGAAAGTTAATATCTTGACTCCAAGAATAAAAAACACCAAGTGTGGTGATGAATGACATACACAACACTGTCAAGCATAGGGGACAGGTCACTTGGCCAAATACAGGGGTAATTCGCAAAGTTTTCTGGAGCTGAAGATCTAACAACTGGTAGATGAGGTCCAGCAGAGGTCAGATTAAAAGACTGAGTAACAGAGGAATCCCTCATCGACTTGGGAAACTGTCTGTTTTCCATAAAACTAGACTCAAGAGGTAGGCAAGCTGATACATCTATTAGGCGAATCCTCCCAGAACAGAGGGATAATTCCCACCTTGGCCAGCAAATAGTTAGTGGGACTACCTGGTTCAAAAAAACAGTTTGGTGCCTGCCCAAAATCCAGATTCTCTAACTCAAAAGGTAGGAATCGAAAAAGGATGGAGGGACAGCGTGAGAAGAGGGACCATGTTAACTGCAATTCCTTAACAAACCCAAACCCCATAAATAAAAGAGATAAGGGACAAAGGTGCACAAGGAGTGTAGACGATAGGACCCTCCGCTTAGCATGAAGTGTCGGCAACTACAATTGGGATGCCAGGAAACGGGCATTAGGGTGAAGAGTCAGTGCTGTGAGTACCAACAAACCCACGAAAAATCTGCTGTGTATTTTAGGGGTCTTGAGGGCACAATGGAAGTCCCAGCCTCATGCAGTGGAGCTATACCACATAGTAATAGCACAACTGGAGGTGTTTGGGTCACCTGTTGCAGTAGCAATGTCCCCTGCATGTCTTGTAAGACCCCCTATGTGATAGCAATTAAAGTTAAAAAAAAAAAAAATTGTAAATAAAATAAATGTAAAAATCAAAAAAAAAAAAAATGTTTAAAGTCCCCTGTGTGAGAGCGAGAGCAATAATTTTAGGGCCAATATTTATGCGTATCTCTAAATTAATGACCTCTAGAGGCTTTGAAAGCGTCGTCTATGGACTTTTTGGGGTACTGAATTCTGTCGCAGTTTCACGGACGCACACAATTTTTTACCTGGACATGTTGGGTATCCATTTACACATTGTAACGTCATCTTATATATTTTTTATATTGTGTTTTGTGGCACTAAATTTAACTTAAGTGCATTTTCCACTAAATGTTTGGGTTTGATAACAAGTAGCGCTAATGTCATGCAACATAGAAATTTGCAACTGCCACCATTTTATTCTATAGGGTCTTGGCTTTCAGAAAATATATAATGTTTGGGGGTTTTAAGTAATTTTCAGGACTAAAATGTGGATTATAACATGTGAACAAAAAATGAAAAAGGTCCTTGGTCCTTAGAGTGTTAATAGTTAAGGTACTTAAATTAATTTTATGATTTTACTCCTGAGTTTAGTGTCACTTTAGGCCACATGGCTTGCAGTCACAGAGCAACGACTGGTAGAAGCCTGCAGTTTGTTACAAGTATTTTCTAATTTTGACAACCATTAACATGGTCCTTTCTGGCAGTCTGCATGCGCCATTCTAAGTATCAGTATATAAAAGTGTAATGAGAGTTCTTCCTTTCTACATATGGAATCCTACGGCCATCTGATGTTTTAGAACATTGGGTTGTATGATGTACTGTACATTTAAAACAACGTATAAAACATAGACATTTTATTAGTTGCTTCATTCTAACAAAGGAAGGTTCCCATGCTTACAAAGTTCACATTCAGATTAGAATCTCCAATGGTGTGCATACAGCTAAGGACATTTTTATGTGTTTGGGCTGCATACTTTTCATTCATTAACGCTACCTAAAAAGTCCCCTCTATTTAACCTTGAATTAGGCACATTAACATGCAAGAGAATGTGTTTTGTGTATAAAATGCTGTAATGGTCACAAATCTCTAGCTGTCTGGTATGTGCAAATAAACTGTAAATTGTTTTTTATTATTTGTATTATTTATGCATCAAAACAGATCTATGCCTGAACAGCTTTAATTTTCCATTGAGAGCAGAAATGCAAAGTCCCAGCTAAAGGAGTTTCGCTTTAATAGTTCTGACAGAGGACATTCCGGTCTATCCAATTCTAGTTAAAACAAACTCTGGCAGGAAACAAAATGAACTTGAGAGTTAGGTGTCAACAAATCCTGAACTATACAGGTCTAGGATGAAATAGAAAAAAATCATGGCTAGCTGAGTGCCAAATAAAGTTTAACTTTCTTTAACTTTCATTTTTAAAGCACTGGGGTGCTGGAAAAAGTGAATCTGTCACTTACCATCTGAGGAAAAAGGAAGAAAGGACACATTCTGAAATGTTGGTAATGGAAGTTCTTAAAGTAGTTTTATGCTCACAACCTTTTTTCAGTCCTGAATACAGATCAAACATATATACGGTACATTGCCCAGCAAAGAACTTCTTTACAATTCTGGCCTTGCACTTACACAGTCATCATGTTTCTGAACAGCTGACTGCAACTCTCAGTTCAACTTCCTTGAAATTCCTGTCCAGTACAAGATTACAGGCACAGAAGAGTCTCCAGCAACTGTCTATCTACAAGCTTGGAGAAGGGAGGGAGGAGCATGGTGCGGGAGATGTTGGCCTTCCTGTGGCTGTGTGTTGGTGGAAACACACACGGCTTACTAGCACACACAAGGGTGGCTCCATAAGACCCTGCAAGGGAAATGAGTCACCCTAAAACAAGAGATCAGGGACAGTGCTCTGGGAACCAGTATTCCGCAGTAAACTAAAACTTTTAAACAAGGAGCAGGATCCATTGTAAAATGATTTCATCAGCATTTGATATTAAGTAAAATGGTTTATAAGTTATATCACTTTTAAGCTGGCCATACACTGTTCGGCCCTGCTGTGTGTGACCCTGTTTTGACGTTTGATAAAAGTCGTTTTTCTGTAGGGAAAAAAAAAAATCAGATCCAAAAATGCTCGGCCAAAAAGTGAATGCAGTCAGTCAATCAGCTGTAGTCACAGTATTCTGACTGCACACCCAATACAACAGCCCAGTCACACCAAAATCGACTGCAGGATAGAACGTAAAAGAGCAATTAGTGTATGGCCAGCTTGTGTAATATCCAAGAGCTCAAGGACACCACCACATCCTTTCAAACTTGGAGATAGAGTTATCGAGTCTAGTAGTCAGGTACTCCATGGTACATGGGGGGGAGAGGGGGGCAGTCTGTCTCCATTTCAAAGCAATCAAGCACCTGGCCGCCGTGAGAACATGGCTAATGAGCTTGGAGGTGTTCTTAGGAACCCGTGGGATTGGAAGACCCAAGAGAAGGTGCACAGGATCCTCCGGCACGGATATATCCAGCAGTTATTTTTAAACGAAGGGGCATGAAGGGACATGGTCCTGAAAGGTGACGTATTGCTGGACAGTCCCAGAAACTATGCAACAGAGTACCAATATGCTTAGAGCAATGCCAACACACTGTCTAATGCTCTACCCAAAGATCCCTCCCATCGAATCATATACTTATGCTTGGGGAACGGGTGCACAGCTATATAGTTAAGGACCCTGTAAATGTCAGATGTGAGGCCCTTGAGAAAGGGACCATCCAAAATATCCTCTCAAACTTAGTCAACTTAGGAAATACCAGTCCATTAAGAGACCGAATAAGAATAGTGTTTGATTTGCAGATATGTGAAAAAAAGATTGTGAGGGAAACTTAAATTTAGCTTGCAGGTCAGTGAAGGAAAGGAGGGTCCTGTCTGCCAAGTGGGCAATATTTTTAATCTAATCTAAACAGGGAACTATTAAGCCACGATGAGAAATCTGGTGAGATAGGGTAGAGGGGGAGGGAGGGGGAATAAAGAAAAGAGCGCATGAGGGTATGAGGAGTAGACAAATCAAATTTAGTCCCCACATACCGCCAAACTATGAAGCATGGGGATAAGAGGATAGGCATCTTGAGCTTAAGTGGGGTGTGCCAGATAAGGTAGTTACGATAAATGGGAGAGATCCAAAGGCTCTTGGATCTCCATCCAACAATTAGGCGGGCTGAGAGAGGACCAGGAAGCTTAATGTTGTAGGTGAGCCGCCAAAAAATATTTAGAGATATCTGGGAAGCTCAGACCAGTCTGAGACCTAGAGGCCAACAGCACCCTCCTGGACACTATTACTGGAGTCACTACAAGTAAAATTCAAGAGGGAGCGTTGTAGGCGTCCAAGCACAGACAACGGAACTCTAACCATCAACGTTTCAAAATAGTATAATAGCTTAGGCAGTATCATCATTTTAAATCACAGTCATTTTGCCCATCCAAGAAAGGCGGTAAGGGCTCCACTTCTGCAGTGCCGAGCTCCCGGGAAAAGGGCAAGATAATTAATCTTGTAAATGGTCGACACCCGAGGGGCAAGATAGATCCCCAAGTATTTAATTTGTACCCAATTACCAACGGTAAGGAAGGCTAAAGTTGTGAGAGCAAGTCCCGCGGATATGAAGCAGTAGCGCCTCTTTTGTTGTGCATGCATTTTTTGCAGATCGCACTGGAACAGAACACAGCCACGCGTTCGGGTGCCGGCGATCGCACCCGGACTTCAATGCACCGCCACGCCTTCTCCCGCCCATGAACAGAGGGAGCCGGCCGGATTGCGTTCCAGAGGCTGGACGCTCTGGTACGCACTCATTAATGGTGAATCCTTTCTCTTGCTATGGAGCCACCCATGTGTGTGCTAGTTAGTTGTGTTTGTCTACACAACGACACAGACACAGCAGAGCAGGGCAATCCAGTCCTCTACTCCCTTCTCCAAGCTAGTAGATGGACAGCTGCTGGAGACTGTGCTGTTCCTTCTGCTATTTTGTACTTAACAGGAAGTTCAGGGAAGCAGAGTTGGAGCCAGCAGTTCTGTAACATGACTAAGTGCTTGGGCAAAAATATAAAGAAATATTTTGATGGCCAATCTGTATTTGTTTAATCTGGATTCATCATTGAAAAGAAGGTTGAGAGTTTAATATTAATTTTAAATGCTTCCTCCTTGAACACTGTACATGCAGTCCCCGGGTTACGAACAAGCTAGGTACTGTAGGTATGTTCTTAAGTTGGATTTGTATGGAAGTTGGAACAGATAATTTTTTTTTTTTATGTAACTCCAGTCAAAAATTAGTTTTTTGTTTTGGATATCAGGGGTTAACCCCCTGTAACGTTTGTTTTGCTGTCTGTGCCCCTGTTCAGAAGATTTCACCTCACTTTCTGTCCAGTGACAATAGGATTTTGAAAATGTTAGGTTGTCGTGGAAACAAGGATTGGTGATAAAGCTTCAGTGGAGCTTTTTCCCATGATAACTCTTACAGGAGTAAATTTCCCTTCCTAGGTGTAGATTTTTCTCTCACTTCCTGTTGTCTCAAGGACAGGAAGTGAGATTAAATCTTCCTAATGAGAATATAGACAGCAGTAAAAACCTCACAGTGGCTCTAACCCCCACACCATACTAACCAAAACTAAAAAAATACAATTTGCATGGAGCTCAACTTTAAATGCAATTTGGAAAGATGTTTGTCTTAAGACCCAAAAAGGCGGACACCGTTGTCGGCACGAGCGCGGTGGTATTACAACTACTGGACTGCTGCACAGTACACTTTGGCTGCAGCCTGGGACCACCTGCTGTACAGTAATAGCCTCCGTTTGTAAGTAGGAGTCGTACGCAAGTCGGATGTTCGTAACTCGGGGACTGCCAGTATAACATTGTGGGGCTCACAGTGTGGGGCATCACGCTACAGAGAACACTCTGGGATAAGAGGAGAACGCTGTCATGACAGGTTTCAACATTCTCCCAAAACCCCCCTCCTTAATTAGGCCAGGTTCACACCATGGCGATGTGTGACCGTGCGGCAATCGTGCACGAAACTGCGCAGCCACCCCAAAATCGGCCACTACCGCTGATCGCGCTGGAGGTGCCATTATTTTCTAATGGCACCCCAGTGGCGCCGGGCGGATCATGCGTTTTTCCCGCCGCAATTCCGCCCCTGCAATCGAATACAATTGCGGCTAAAACAGCCGCGCGTCGTTTGTTGCACAAAAAAAAGGTACATATGCCTTTTTCTGCGATTGCCACGCGTATGTAACCCCAGGGCCGGATTTACTCCACCTGCCGCCCCAAGGCCAGGTTCCACAGTACGCCCCCCCCCCCTCACCCCTTGGTGCTCTGCCGCCCTGAGGCCGGGCCTCGATGGCCTTGTGGGAAATCCAGGCCTGTGTAACCCCATTGAAATCAATAGGGGCGCGTGGCAATTTTTTAAAATTTTTTTTTTAAAGAAGCAGCATAGCAAAGGTTAGGCTAAATAACTGCTTTCTAAACCTGGCCATACACTGCTAGAATTGCGGCTGATTCCTGTGAATTGGGTGGCCAATCAGCTGCAGTGACTGTTTGGGTATTCTGAGAGCATTGGGCGCAGGCTGTCAGAATACAATAGCCCGGCGGTAGAGATTCGCCTGTTTAGCGTGGATGGAGACATTTGTCAGATTTCTAATCTGGTTAGTATAAAGCCAGTTTAAATCAGCCCCTTAGTTATTAATAACAACCTGTCTAGAACAGAAGACCTTTGGTCCAACTTACAAACAGTGGTTTTGACTATCTGTGAGCAGCACATGGTCAAATAAAAAGTACAGCTTCTATTCAGCTTGTTCAGATAAATCTATAGAAAGTACATGGCTATGTATGAAAACTAGAACGATCTAGTCCGTTTGTTCATATGCTTAGCATTAACTCAGTTCAAAAGAAAACTTACTAGTTCTGCTTGTAACAAAGAATTTGCAAGAAGCCTAAAGAATGCAAATGAACATAAACTTACGGTAATAAATTTATGAACTGGTATTTTTTCTTGACCTTCAGCAATTGTGTAGAACAGCAAATCTTCAAGGCTTGGCAGGAGTCCTGGTTTGTTTTTCCTGCAAAAAAAAAAAAAAGATTTAAATTCCCCCAAAATAGAAAGACAGAATAGTGTAATGTCATGTAATTTCACAGTTTACTCCACGATTTCCAATTTTTTTTTTAAACATATTAGTAAACACATAATCGGACAGGTAAACTGAATAGGAGCATTGAGATTATATTATAAGGCCTTTAGTAAAATGCAATCCCCTAAATTAAATGTAATATCTCTCTGACCCCTTTCTTTTTCCTGACAGATTATTCTATGACAACCCAGCCCCCTCTTTGAAAGATAAAGCTTAAGTAGAGCTCACAGCTTTGAACGAAGCAATCATTTATTATTCCCCTATGAATAAACATTGCCAACTGTTCTTGGCTTCACACTCCTGGTGTTGAATGCCTGTTCATAGCCATTTCTGTCTCTGGAAATTTCCTTGGTTTCAATAATAAGCAGGGATATTGTAAAATGTAAACGTGCTGCCTCAAACGTAGTCATCTGCAGTGTAAGGTACCCCATGCGCTCAAAATCCTTGGATACATAGAGGAGCATCTACCGCATACCTGAATGCATGGATAAACATAATCTGACCACGTCATCTGAGGAACCTTATATTTCAGCACATTTAAAGTCGAAGTAATGTAAAAAAATAAAATAAAATGATGGAAGGTAGGAATTTTTGACAGAAGACGAGTCTCGTCTGGCAAAAAAATTATTCCTCTCTTCCCTAATGTTTTTTTATTTTATGTGTACATTGTACTGTGCATGCCAAGATGCAGTGAATGGGCCAGTTGCCAAGGATGATGTAATTCCTGCGCAAGCACACAGGAGTTACATCAGTGACCACCCAGTGGCCAAAGAGGACTTTTGAGGTCTTGAAAGTGTCAGCAGCTAAGATGGTGGTGGCGTGGGACAATGCTGCGGACCAAAGATCGATCTGACAGTGCTGGAGAAGGGCACACTTTTAAAAAGGTACAAGGTAAATATGTCCTAATATGCAAACATTCAGTGCATACTTGCACATTAGGGCAAAAAACTAAAATTCACAAAGCGGTTTACTTCCACTTTCTAGGAGCCAAACTGAAGCCAAACATTTTATTTAGCTTTAGATAGATAGAGTAGAGAAGGGTTATAATCAGGGTTGCACCGATATCGGCCGCCGAAACATATCGGCCGAAAATGGCACTTTTGGCATAATGCGGAAAGTGCCATTTTCTGGCCGATACAGCGTGAGCAGTCGGCGTCTCTCCTCCCACACCGCTCAGCCTCCTGTGACAGATTAGAGGTGAGCAGTGTGGGCAGAGACAGCCAGCGCTGTTACAGGAGGCTGAGCTCTCCTCCCGCACCGCTAGCTCGCTGAGTGTTTGTAGATAATTGAGGACATGTTAACTACAGACTCAATTAGGAATGAATGGGAAGTGATCTACATCGCCTCCTGTTCATTCGTGAATGTGGTTAAACACACAATGTTCTCAAGTTATGAATGAACAGGAGCGCTCAGAGGATTCCTGTTCATTGATAACAGGGGCTGCAGAAAAAGAGATTGAGGACTCTGCGTTCTCAATCTCTTTTTCTATTTTATTGGGGGTCTATTTAGATAGACCCCCAATACATCAAGCTAGCCACACTGAGCATATTTCAGCCGGTTTTGGATGAACCAGCTGAAATTTGCTGGGTGGCCCTGTCTGCTTCCTCCCCACAACCTTCAGTTAATAACATCGAAAGAGCTAGGCAGAAAATTGTCAGCTGAGGAGAGCCGGCATCCAATGGGATGCAAGCACTTTTCAGGTATTTTGACAGCGGGCAGGGTCAACTGTCAATATACAATAGCTGCAGAGGGAGAGTCCTCCATCCACTCTGTTTAGCCCGCAGGGTGAGTGAGAAAAAACTAAATCTATAGGTGTACGGCCAGTCTTGGAAAGATACTCAGCAAATTTCATAAAAATCAAAAAAGGGACAACCAACATTGATTGTAAGCGCTGTCATATTTCTGTCTGACAAGGAAAACATTGGAATTCTGTGAGGAAAAGCAACTCATCCTTCAATGAGTGAAACACATTTCCGACATGATGGAAAATCTTTGTAAACAATTAAACGCTTTTTATACTTGCGCAACTCCCTTTTAACAAGCATGTTGTAATATCTACATTTAATGCAAGCAAGGCTGGACTCGGTCCCATCACTTGCTAAACGTACCCTGTCATTGAGGACCTAAGTTACCATTTGCACTGACTATTGTAGAATATCTGAACCAGCGGATCAAAGGCAATATTATCAGCGGTTGCCAAAGCAACGGGACAAAGCAAAAGTCTGCTACATCTGTTACAGAGAATTTCAAGACTGCTTCAATAAATCTCAGAACTAATTAGTGAAAAATACATGAAAAGGGGATGATCGGTTCACCACTCGTAATGGAACTGAAAAACATACAAGCTGAGAGACAAAACTTAAATAAAAACCTGAATTTGCGTTTCAAATGTTTGCATCAAATATAGTGTAAAAAACATGATTGTAAACAATTTTTATGAGGTTGGGCTACCTCCTAGTAAACCTGCACCCAATTTATCCTTTGCTATTGGGGAGGCACTGATACCGGTTTTGCGGTATTGAGTACCGATACTTTTTTCAGTACTTTTCACCGAATACCGATACCGGAAGCCCCATTAAGGAAGCCAGGCAGCGCGTAATGGCTCGCCACCTGGCTTCCCGATTAGCCAGGCGGCGTGTAAAGACTCGCCACCCGGCTTCCCGATTAGCAGGGAAGCCGTCTCCATGCTTCTCGTCACTAGATGACGAGAAGCATGGAGACGGCTTTCTGGTCAACCAGGAAGCCGGGCGCCATGTAACGACGCGATGCTCGGCTTCCCGATTGGCCGGGAAGCCAGCTCCATGCTTTCTAGTCATTTAGTGACGAGAAGCATGGAGACGGCTTCCCAACGAGGGAGCATGGAGCTGGCTTCCTGGCCAATCAGGAAGCCAGGCAGCTTGTAATGACTGCCCGGCTTCCTGATACCGGAAGCTCAAGTATCGGGCTAGGCAGAGGAGCATTTGGGCGAGTACTCGCCCAAATACTCGGCATTGGCACCGATACTAGTATCGGTGCATCCCTATTTGCTATATATGCTCCAAGATAGGGGCTCTGATAGATTAGAGTTAGGACCATATTACACAGAGGGGCTTGACCAGGCAGAGGCTTCCACATATTTTGCAAAAAGTGTCCAACTAAAAGCTCTGTTTTTAACCCTAAGAGACAGTGTACTTTGTTTTTTTTACTTTTTGCAGGCAAGCTGTTAAGTGTACTGGGAAATTTTTGCTTTTGAACTGTGTAAAGCCCTCCCATGTGCACCTTGCTTTAAAGCTAGTTATTAATTGAGTGCAATTGCCATTTGTTTAACTTGTTAGAACAGGGGGAGGCAACCGTGGCACTCCAGCTGTGGTGAAACTTTAAATTCCATCATGCCCCTGCCAATGGGAGTAATTCCTGTGGCTGTCAGAGTCTTGCAATGCCTCATGGGACGTGTAGTTTCACAGGAGCTGGAGTGTCGAGATTGCCTACCCTTGTTCTATAAACATCTACCGTATCATGTTCTTCTTGCTCTCTACATTCCCAAATCAGAAATTTGCCCTCACTTCCTGTTCCAATGACTGTCCATGAGGAGAAATGTACCCAACAGGGCCACAGACAACATTAAAAACCTTAGATGATATAAACCCTTCCCCACTCCATTCAAGCCCAAAAAAATTTGGCTGCAGTTTTATTAGTGTGCTATTTGGGCAGTTATAACATCACATTAAACTGCATGACAGGCACAAATTAGCAAACAAGTTTAGGAATGATTAATATGACCCTTAATCCTCAGTTCACACATGTCCTCTGGTAAATGATCCTGTCTGACTTGTTATCAACAGAACATTTTGAGCCAGCTGTCAACACAGATGATGCAAACAAGCCTATTATTCATGGATGACAGACCAACAAATTTAGCAAACCTTTAATGACTATAACTAACAGATGTCCAACCAGTTCACTGAGAAGTGGAAAGGTGAACAGCATCTCCCACTGGAACAACAAATAACAGTACAATGCAATGATAAAGCAAGACTGAAAGCTCTAACCAGCAACACTGTGGACCACCATAAGGATCTCGGATGATGGGCTTTGGGCTTGTGCTACCGTGCAAATGCAGCTTTTAGGTCATTTGGCATCAGTGCTTCTGAGATGATTCAAAGTTCATGGATAGGTGCTTTTGGCTTACAAATGACCTCCTTTTGACTGCATTTGACCTTTTCTAAGATGCAGCAACACGCATCAAGCTGCTTTTGCATTCCCATTGACTTGTTTGGGGAAGAGAAGCAGTGCTGACACGAAGTCCACAAACACAGGCCATAACTTCAAAGAAGTAATCTAAACGAATTAAAGTAAATCTACCATGGAGAATTACAAGTGTTGACTTTGCAGAGCACTTCTTCAATTGTTAGTTGACTGGCTGTTATGCTGACCCTCCTTGATATTTTCCCAGTCTCTAATAAAGAACAAGTATGCAGACCAGGCATATTGGAGAAACCTTCTAATCTGCATTCTTGTTCTGAGTCAGTGAATAAAAATAATAAAGCAAAACCGTCAGCGTGGCAGCGAGCCAACTAGCATTTCAGAAGGAGTACTCTGCAATGCCAAGTTGCTTTTAAAAATACAGAAAAATGTTAAGTGAACCCATGAGAACAGAGATAAGGGAGATGCCTATGATGACTATCAGGTTCCTGAGTTGTCAACCTGGTCCTCATTTCAATGACTAGAGAATGAATGTCCTGAAGTGTAGAATGAAATGTTTCCAACCTAAACAAAAGCTTTTCTACTGTTTCTTTTGGTGGGGTAGTTTCAAATGAACCTAACATTTTGCCCTGTCAGGGCAAAGTAGCAGGTTCCCTTGTTAGACCACCTGCTCCATTGTAGATGTTTTCTTTCCTGTACTCTCTTACCACCCCATGCAATAGCCAGAACCCATACTGGCCTACAGTAGC